TGCCGCCGCGCCTCGCTGCTATATGCTGCGGTTTGAAAAGCCCTATCGTTCCTTGCTCCTTGGGCTCTCGCCTGTGCCTCGTGCTTTGCGTCCTTGCAACAGCGGTTTGTCATTGGTTTGAGGAAACCAGTTGGAGGTCGTGGCTTTCGTAACCCCAAGTCGCCCAGCTCCCGCCCCAACGCCCGCTTTGCCGCGGATGGCAGCAAACCTTGCGAGGCGCCCCGAGCAAGAGACGCCAATCGCCCGTGTCGGAATTTTACCCTTCGTCTGAGGGGCGCGCAGCGGGCGCCGCGAGGCTTGCCGCTGCGCGAAAAGGCCGTGTTTGAACGCCAGCATGGCAGTGGGCCTGTCGATGCGTTGCGGGCTGCCGCCGTGCTTTGGCCTGTACTGTGGGCAGGCCTGGCTTGACTGACGGCGGATTATTTTAAGTACCGCCGGGTTAACAAGTAAGGAACCCGCCGCTGCTGCCGCGGCCGCGGGCCTTCGGGGGTAACCCGACCTTTCCAGTCACACTGCCATCAACGGCGCTAACAACCCAGCGCCTAGGTTCTGCCCTAAACTAAGGGAACTGTAGACTTGCCACATGTCACCCAAAAGGAGGGAGGAAGGGCAGCAGGCACGCAAATTACCCAAAGTGGACACGCGGGGTAGCGACGAGACATACCAATGTTAGGTGCACATGTGGTGGGTGGAGTTGGGCTTGCAACCGGCTCTAGCAGCTCCCAAGTCTGCAAAACGCATTTTGGGTTGATATTGTGGGTCTGTTAAGATGATGTCAATTGGCAAACTACATCTAGCAGTGCATCAATCATGCACAAGTATGTCGTGCATCCACTGAATAGTGTACATAATTATTTGTTCGGAATTGAGTCTGCCAAGTCTATGCATATTAATTTCAGCTGAGTGGATCATTAGATAATCGACTACAATTCAATGATATGGAAAGGAATTGAACAGCAGGGTTGAAAGAAAAACGACTTCAATTGATTGGTTTAGGAGGAGATTATGAATGGAGCAAGCTGAGTGCCCTGCCGGGTGACTTGGCACTGTCAAATTGCAAGGTAACAGAGGCAAATTGCCAAGTGCATTGGCAACTTAAGCAAGTATGCAATTGAGGGGCAGCCCAACTGAGGAGATTGGCAATTGACCGTCATGAGATGGTTGTGAGGTTGTGAATATTAACAATTGAAAACGCCCAAATCGATGCGGTGAGGAAAATGATAGGATTTGTGGAAGGCAAATAGCAAGAAAGTGACGTTGGAGGTAGGCACGGTGTTTGTTTGCTGAAGATCGCATAGATTGAGTGCGGAAGTGGGCGAGTTGGGCGGCAGTGGTGAGTTGGCGATTTGTCCAATTAGAATTTAGGAGGAAGGAGGGCGGGACAATCGACGCGATCTTCATTTTGAAAACATTTTGGGTGGACACCTGGGAGTCCCCCACACCGTATGAACGGCTAAGATCTCATGGGTCGACGCTGGGGGCAGGGCTGTTGCGTGTAGGTTTGAAAAAATCGATTTGTGCATTTTGAATTTCAGGGAAGGAGGGTGGGGACGATCAAGGAGATCTTCCCCTTGTAAATGCCTGGGAAGGACCCGTGGTAGTTCCCCACACCGTGTGGAAGGTGAAGATCCTGTGGATCGACGCTGGAGGCGGGTTGTTGTGTGTGGGTGGAAATTGGCAATTTGCAAATTTCGAATTTTCATAAAAGGGGAGTGTGGACGATCAACATGATCTTCCACTTCAAACGCCTTTGCCAGACCCTTGGGAGTCTTGCACACCATTTGGAAGGTGAAGATCCCATGGATCGACACCGGAGGAGGGGTGGCTAGGTGGGGGTTGAAATTGGCGATTGGCCAATTTCCAATTTCTAGGAAAGGAGGGTGACGACGATCGATGGGATCTTCGCCTGCTCAACGACGTGGCGGGACCCCAGGGGTACACCACAGCAGTTTGGCAAGCGAAGATCAGTGGTTCGACGCCGGAGGCGAGGCGGCCGGGTACAAGCTGAAAATCGACGATTTTTCAAATTTGAATTTTCAGCGAAGAAGGGTGGGGACGATCGACGGGATCTTCCCCTTGCAACGTCTGGGACGGGCCTCCTGAAGTCCTGCACGCTGTTTTCTCGCGCAAAGATCGGGTCGATCCACGCCACACCCGGGGCGGCTGGATCGGGGGGTGGGAATTGGCCATTTTCTAATTTTGATTTTTGGGGGTGGGGTGGGTGGACCGATCGACGCGATCTGTGCAAGCCCAAGGGTGGGGCGGGCCTCCAGGAGCCTGCCACAACTTTCGCCTCGTGAAGATCGGGTCAATCGACCCGGTGGCTCGGAGGAATCTGATGGGCGGGGGTGGGGAGGGGGTTTGGGGAAGGATTTTCGAAAATTTGAATGGCTGCTCCGGCCCAGCGGCCGATCGACGCGATCCTCGATAGGCGAAGGGCGTGGCAGGCCTCTAGGAGCCTCTCCCGCCCTTCAGCACTCGAGGATCGCGTTGGTTGGCCGCTGGGCCGGACCGGCTGGGCGCGGAGTCAAATTTGGCGATTGGCCAAATTTGCTCCCAGCCCATCGGCGCCGCGCGAGGATCGAGCCGATCCTCGGCCCCCGAGCGCCAAGGCGGGCTTCCAGGGGAGCGCCCCGGCCTTCAACGCGCGAGGATCGCCTCGATTCCCGCGGGGCGCCGATGGGCCAGCGGTTCTGTAGGGATTCTGGCTACTCCCTTCACCCCGGCTTCCCCCGGGCTTCCCGCCTTTGAGCTCGTCCCCTGGCCGTTGCGCGGCAGGCCGTGGTGCACAGCCGGCCTTGCGCTGGCGGTGCTGTGCCCATCACGCTGCCCGCCCCCCATCCCCCTGCGGATTCTCCCCCCCACAGGCGCCGCATACGGCGCTGCGCCGTGGTTTGCAGCGTGGGTGGATCAGCAGTGGGTGGGACTGGGTCTGTGTCGATTGTCGATTGCGCTGTGCTGGTGCTGGTCACGTTGCGTGCTCGTGCTAGTCGCGGTAGCGCGAACTCACCTCTCACCCGCCTCTGCCCGCCTCCGCCTGGATCTATAACGCAATCAGCTGGCCCAAACAGAAACCCATCGATTCCCGCGCGTCCGTCACGCCCCCCCTCGTGTCGCGCGTCCCCTAAGGCTCCGTGCCGCAACTCGGCAACCGGCGCGCGGGGTTACGTGTTCCCCGGCGACCCGGCGCGGCCGCCGTGGTGTGGCAGCGCGCCGCTTTTGACCGCACGCTGCCCGCCCCGCCCCTCCCCGCCAGCTTCCCGGCGGCCGCCAGGCGCCTCGTGTGGAGCGAGCGGGGGGCGAGCGCGCAAACCGCCGCGTGCAAAATTAGCAGGCCCGGCGGGGTGGCGCTGGGCGCGCGCAAACGCTGCGGGCGCGTGCGCGCCAAGTTGTTTGCTCCGCCACGTCGGCGGGCGCCCCGCGCAATAGTTAAGCAGTAGTGGCGCGGGGTTGCCGTACGAAAATAACTCGTAATTAAAATATCGTAATTAAAAAATAAAAATACCGCCGGGTTAATCAAACCCTTGGGCGCCTTTTCGCACATGGGATATCACCGACGATACCCAGTTGTTTGTGCATACACCACATGTTCAGCTCGCAATTGAGTTTCTTGACTGACGACTTGTCTGGCACTCAGTTTGGGAAGACACCCCTTGGATTGGCAGCCATCGAAGATCACGCAGCTGTGGCGGAGACTCTACTGAATCATGGGGCATTTGTGGATCTGGCGGACCAAGTGCGGGCGCCCTTGCTGTTGCGTTGCGTATTGCGCCGCATTTGTGCTAGTGCTGTGCTTGTTGTTGGTACTGCTCCAACAGCAAAATGGCGCTCAATATTGGCCATGCATTTGCTCATCATGGCATACGTGGCTTGTGTAAACGGAATTGAAAATGTCGGGTATCAACTGCCATTGTGATGCTTAAGTACTGGATGAATGTGCTGTTTCAAAGGAAAGTGTTAGGCGTTGCGCGAACGTGGCATTCCCATCTCGCTGGTTAACTGCTGGACGAGGGTGCTGCCTGGCGATGAATTGATTCGTGTGAACTGGCCCTGTCTTCTGTTCATTCGCCATTATCACACATTCGTAAATGACCGAACGGCAGCCAGCGATGAAGATGCTGATAGTGTCCATTGAGGTCTATTACATTCAAGTTAGAGTCTTCCCTGCCCTTTGAAATAGTATTCTTCGATACTTTAATCAAACTACAGGCGCCCTTTCTCACGTGGGCTATCGCCGACGATATCCAGTTGTTTGTGCGTACACCACCTGTTCAGCATGCAATTGAGTTTCCTGACTAACGACTTATCTGGCACTCAGTTGCGACAGACACCCCTTGTTTGGGCGGCCAGGAAAGGTCACGCAGCTGTGACGGAGACTCTACTGAATCATGGGGCAGCTGTGGATCTGGCGGACCAGGTGCGGGCGCCCTCATTGTTGCGTTGCATATCGTCCTGCATTTGTGCTAGTGCTGTGCTGCTTGATGGTGCTGCTCCAACAGCGAAATGGCACTCAATATTGGCCATGCATTTGCTCAGCATGGCAGACGTGGCTTGTGTAAACGGAATTGAAAATGTCAGGAATCAACTGCCATTGTGATGCTTAAGTACTGGATGAATGTGCTGTTTCAAAGGCATGTGTAAAGCGTTGAGCGAATGTGGCATTCCCATCTCGCTGGTTAACTACTGGACGAGGGTGCCGCCTGACGATGAACTTGATTCGTGTGAACTGGCCCTGTCTTCTGTTCATTGACATTATCACACACTCGTAAATGACTGGACAGCAGCCAGCGATGAAGATGTAGATAGTGTCCATTGAGGTCTACTACATTCAAGTTAGAGTCTTCCCTGCCCTTCGAAATATTATTCTTCGATACTTTAATTAAACCCTTGGGCGCCCTTTCGCACGTGGGCTATCACCGACGATACCCAGTTGTTTGTGCATACACCACCTGTTCAGCGTGCAATTGAGTTTCCTGACTGACGACTTTTCTGGCACTCAGTTTGGGCAGACACCCCTTGTTTGGGCAGCCAGGGAAGGTCACGCAGCTGTGGCGGAGACTCTACTGAATCATGGGGCAGCTGTGGATCTGGCGGACCAAGTGCGGGCGCCCTTTTTGTTGCGTTGCATATCGTCGTGCAGTTGTGCTAGTGCTGTGCTGCTTGATGGTGATGCTCCAACAGTGAAATGGCGCTCAATATTGGCCATGCATTTGCTCAGCATGGCAGACGTGGCTTGTGCAAACGGAATTGAAAATGTCAGGAATCAACTGCCATTGCGATGCTTCAGTACTGGATGAATGTGCTGTTTCAAAGGCTTGTGTTAAGCGTTGCGCGAACGTGGCATTCCCATCTCGCAGGTTAACTGCTGGACGAGGGTGCTGCCTGCCCCCATGAACTTGATTCGTGTGAAATGGCCCTGTCTTCTGTTCATTCGCCATTATCACACATTCGTAAATGACCGAACGGCAGCCAGCGATGAAGATGTGGATAGTGTCCATTGAGGTCTGCTACATTCAAGTTAGAGAGTCTTCCCTGCCCTTCGAAATATTATTCTTCGATACTTTAATCAAACTCTAGGCGCCCTTTCTCACATGGACTATCACCGACGATATCCAGTTGTGTGTGCATACACCACCTGTTCAGCGTGCAATTGACTTTCCTGACTGACGGATCTATCTGGTACTTAGGGTGGGTGGAGACCCCTTGTTCGGGCAGCCAGGAATGGTCACGCAGCTGTGGCGGAGACTCTACTGAATCATGGGGCAGCTGTGGATCTGGCGGACAATGTGCGGGCGCCCTCATTGTTGCGTTGCATATCGTCCTGCATTTGTGCTAGTGCTGTGCTGCTTGATGGTGCTGGTCCAACAGCGGAATGGCGATCAATATTGGCCATGCATTTGCTCAGCATGACAGACGTGGCTGGTGCAAACGGAATTGAAAATGTCAGGAATCAACTGCCATTGTTATGCTTAAGTACTGGATGAATGTGCTGTTTGAAAGGCAAGTGTTAAGCGTTGCGCGAATGTGGCATTCCCATCTCGCTGGTTTACTACTGGACGAGGGTGCCGCCTGGCGGTGAACTTGATTCATGTGAACTGGCCCTGTCTTCTGTTCATTCGCCATTATCACACATTCGTAAGTGACCGAACGGCAGCCAGTGATGAATATGTGGATACTGCCCATTGAGGTCTGCTACATTCAAGTTAGAGTCTCCCCTGCCCTTTGTGATATTATTCTTGGATACTTTAACAAGGCCGGATATCCGCGTGCTGCGCAAGCGCGGTCCGCTGATTAACCCGACGGTGTGGTATCGTGCGGTCGGTCGGACTACCCACATGTTCCTGGGTAGTTTTGACACAATACATAAAATTGTATAATGTAAATTGTATAATGCCAAATCGAAAAAGTTTATGAGGCCGTGGCAGGCAGTTGAATGCAAGCTAGTTTGAATATAAGTTGAATATGTTCAATCGCAGCGACGTTCAATCACTTGGATTTGTTTTCTTAGGATCAAGTTAAGCACACCAATTAGTGCTTGAAATGGTGCACCAGTCAGTGCATGAACTCGTGCACCAATTGCTGGACAATTGAATGCAACGATAGTTGTACCAACCTGTGGATCAATTGATGCATCAATAGGTGCAACGACTGCAACTTGAAAACGAAGGCAGGTTTTTTGAGCGATGGAACACAATCATCTGGACTCTATGTTTTAGTTATGCGTATTGAGGGGATGTCGCGCACCAACTCGTGTTGGTGCCTTGGGCACTGCACGGTTGGCCTTTACAACACTTCCTTTTGCACCTTGCGAGTAATAGTATTTCAGCGCCTGCTCAAGATCAAATAGTGTTTAGAATCTATGGTTTGATCAGAAAAAACAGGCGGTAGCGAATGGCCTTCTTTTCAGTTGACAGCGTCCTATCCTCCTTGGCATCCACAGAGGGGTGCACAGCGGTGCAAGTGGAGAATAGATTCTGTTAATATTGTCCATTATTCGTGAGAGATCTTATATCTGTTTGTTTTGGACGAGGATTCTTGTTGCAGGACAGCATTCATTCTGCTTTTCATTCTGCTTTCCGTTCGATGCTTTTTTTCTTGGACGTTTTTCCATCCGTGTTGATATGGGACATGAGTGAGCGCCCAGGAGCGAGTGCGTTGGAGCGCGCCTGCAACGAGCTGTCTATGCTGGGAGGGGCGAGGGCGAGGCCCAAGGCTCGGCAGCCCAAGCACTGGCTACGGGCGCCTTGGCTGCCCTGCGATTGACCGCCGATTGATGGCCAATTGACGGGTGTCATAGCAGGCGATCGCCGCAGCGAGGCGCGTCATGGGATCGCCTGCTGTGTTGGCCGGGTTTGGCGCCTCGATCGCCGCTGGATCGCCGGTCAATCGGAGACTATGGCTGGGCGTCGTGGGCGATTGAGTGGCATACGGGCAGCCAAGTTTGGACAGCATCCCGCCGCTCACACCTTCCCGGATCGGCAATGGGCGCTAGGGGAGCAACCGCCCGGGAGGCGCAAATGCTCCCGGCGTGCATCGCCGCCGCGGGTATCGTGGCTGGGAGCCTGGGGGGGCGGGAGAGGGCCCCACGGATTGATGCCTCACGGGCCGCCAATCACGCCTCCTGTGGGGGACTCGAATGCCCCCCCACTGGTGGCCCGGCTGGCCGCCCGCGAGCCGTAGAAAAGTTACATGGTTTGGTGCCTGGCGGCCACCGATTTGCGCCAGCCGCGGTGGCCTGGAATGGCATCAATAGGCGATGCATATGGGCGCCCATGAGGCGCCAGAGAAGCGGCCCGATTGGCGCCTCGCATGCGCCCGTTTGTGCCTCCCACGCTCGGCTGGAATGGCCCCTTGCCAATTGCACAAAAGGGCACCGGCGAGGTGCAATAGGCACGGGAATATGGGCGCCTCGCGGGCGCCCATTTGCAGCAGGTGCGGTTGCCTAGAATGGGCTACGCCGATGGCACGAGTGGGTGGCTGCTAGGCGCGAGATGCGCCGCACGATCGGCGCCTCATTGGCGCGCAATCACGCTGCCCGCCCTGCCTTGAAACGGGTCCTGGCGGTTGCGCAAATAGGTGCCCGCCAGACAAGAAATGCCTTGAGGGTTTTGCGCCTCATGGGTGGCTATTCATGCCCCCCCTTGTCGCCTAGAATGGGCCTCGCCGATGGCGCGAATGGCCGCCCACAAGGTGCGAGATGCGCCGCACAATAGGCACCTCACCTGCGCCCAAACACCCCGGCCACCTTGCCTTAAAACGGCCCCTACCTATGGCTCGCTGGATAGCTCGCGAGCCGCAAGAAGTGCCGAGGGATTGGCGCCTCGCGGCCGCCCATTCCCGCTGCCCAAGAGACCTGGAATGGCTTCACCTTGTGATGCGAATGGGCGCCCACAAGGCGCCAGACAAGCTGCCAGGTTGGCGCCTCACGCGCGCCCATTCCCGCCTCCCGCAGTCGCCTGGAATCGCCCACACTGGTCATGCAAATGGTTGCCCGCGAGGCGCGAGAGGCGCGGGAGGATGGGCGCATAAGGGCACCCATTCTTGCCACCCACGGTCGCCTGGAATGGGGCCTGCTGATGGCGCGAGTGGGCACCCGCGAGGCACCAGATGCACTGCACGATCAGCGCATCACTAGCGCCCAATCGCGTGGCTGGCCTTGCATTGAAACGGGGCTGGGGGTGCACCCCTACACCACGTGGTGTGGTTGGGCGCCCAGGAGCTGCGAAATGTGTCGAGGGATTCACGCCTCGCGGGCGCCCATTCCTGCCTCTTGCGGCGGCCTGGAACGGCCTCCGCCGCTGGCGGGAATGGGTGCCCACGAGGCGGGAGAGGCGCCTCCTGATTCACCCCTTGCAGGTGCCCATCCCCGCCGCCCGAGCTGGCCTGGAGCGGCCCTTGCCTGTGGCACAATTGAGCACTCGCGAGCCACGAGAAGCGTTGGGGGATTGGCGCCTCGCAGGCACCCATTTCTGTTGCCCACGTTGGCCTCCAACGGCCTTTGCCGGCCGCGGGAATGGGTGCCCACAAGCCGCAAGAGGCGCCGAGTGATCCGCAGGCGCCCACAAGGCGCGAGCTGCGCGGCCTGATTGGCCCCTTGAGGGGGCCCATTCCTGCCGCGCATACTGCTTTGGAACGGACACTCAGGTTGCGTGAATAGGCACCAGCGACTTGCGAGGGCTCCGTCCCAACGGCGTGCGGCGACCGCGGCAAGAAACGCTCCATTTCCGCGTCGAAAATTCGGCCGGCCGGCGGGGGCCACGCAGGTGGCGTCGTGCGGCGCCGGGGCGGCAAGAAACAAGTGTACTTGAATAGACAGCGTGGCAGGCCCATGGGAAGCGGGCGGGAAGCGGGGGGCCAGTGGATTGTGCAGTTGTGCGTGCGACGCACGGGGGTGCCGTACAAATGTAATATGTATAGCAGCCGGGCTAATCAAACTACAGGCGCCCTTTCTCATGTGGGCTATCGCCGACGATATCCAGTTGTGTGTGCATGCACCACCTGTTCAGCATGCAATTGAGTTTCCTGACTGACGACTTGTCTGGCACTCAGTTTGGGAAGACACCCCTTGGATTGGCAGCCAGGGAAGGTCACGCAGCCATGGCGGAGACGCTACTGAATCATGGGGCATCTGTGGATCTGGCGGACAATGTGCGGGCGCCCTTGTTGTTGCGTTGCGTATTATCCCGCATTTGTGCTAGTGCTGTGCTGCATGTTGGTACTGCTCCAACAGCGAAATGGCAATCAATATTGGCCATGCATTTGCTCAGCATGGCAGACGTGGCTTGTGTAAACGGAATTGAAAATGTCACGAATCAACTGCCATTGTGATGCTTAAGTACTGGTTGCATGTGCTGTTTCAAAGGCACGTGTTAAGCGTTTCGCGAATGTGGCATTCCCATCTTGCAGGTTAACTACTGGACGAGGGTGCCGCCTGGCCATGAACTTGATTTGTGTGAACTGGCCCTGCCTTCTGTTCATTCGCCATTATCACACATTCGTAAATGACCGAACAGCAGCCAGCGATGAAGATGTGGATAGTGTCCATTGAGGTCTATTACATTCAAGTTCGAGTCTTCCCTGCCCTTCGAAATATTACTCTTGGATCCTTTAATCAAGCCCTAGGGGCCCTTTCTCACATGGGCTATCACCGACGATACCCAGTTGTGTGTGCATACACCACCTGTTCAGCGTGCAATTGAGTTTCCTGGCTAATGGCTTTATCTCGCACTCAGGAAGGGTGGACACCCCTTGCTTTGGCAGCCAGGGAAGGTCACGCAGCCGTGGCAGAGACTCTACTGAATCATGGGGCATATGTGGATCTGGCGAACTGGGTGCGGGCGCCCTTGTTGTTGCATTGCGTATTGTCCCGCATTTGTGCTAGTGCTGTGCTGCTTGTTGGTGTTGCTCCAACAGCAAAATGGCGCTCAATATTGGCCATGCATTTGCTCAGCATGGCAGACGTGGCTTGTGTAAACGGAATTAAAAATGTCGGGTATCAACTGCCATTGTGATGCTTAAGTACTGGATAAATGTGCTGTTCAAAGGCAAGTGTTAAGCGTTGCGCGAATGTGGCATTCCCATCTCGCTGGTTAACTACTGGACGAGGGTGCCGCCTGGCGATGAATTGATTTGTGTGAACTGGCCCTGTCTTCTGTTCATTTGCCATTATCACACATTCGTAAATGACTGAACGGCAGCCAGCCATGAAGATGTGGATAGTGTCCATTGAGGTCTACTACATTCAAGTTCGAGTCTTCCCTGCCCTTCGAAATATTACTCTTGGATCCTTTAATCAAGCCCTAGGGGCCCTTTCGCACGTGGGCTATCACCGACGATACCCAGTTGTGTGTGCATACACCACCTGTTCAGCGTGCAATTGAGTTTCCTGACTGACGACTTATCTGGCACTCAGTTTGGGCAGACACACTTTGTTTGGGCAACGAGGAAACTTCACACAGCCGTGGTGGGGATTCTACTGAATCAAGGGGCATATATGGATCTGGCGAACTGGGTGCGGGCGCCCTTGTTGTTGCGTTGCGTATTGTCCCGCATTTGTGCTAGTGCTGTGCTGCTTGTTGGTACTGCTCCAACAGCGAAATGGCGATCAATATTGGCCATGCATTCATTCAGCATGGCAGATGTGACTTGTGTAAACGGAATTGAAAATGTCAGGAATCAACTGCCATTGTGATGCTTAAGTATTGGATGAATGTGCTGTTTCAAAGGCATGTGTTAAGTGTTGCGCAAATGTTGCATTCCCATCTCGCTGGTTAACTACTGGACAAGGGCGCCACCTGGCCATGAACTTGATTCGTGTGAACTGGCCCCGTCTTCTCTTCATTCGCCCTTATCACACATTCGTAAATGACTGAATGGGAGCCAGCCATGAAGATGTGGCTAGTGTCCATTGAGGTCTACTACATTCAAGTTAGAGCCTTCCCTGCCCTTCGAAATATTATTCTTGGATACTTGAATCAAACTACAGGTGCCCTTTCTCTTGTGGGCTATCACCGACGATATCCAGTTGTGTGCGCATACACCACCTGTTCAGCATGCAGTTGAGTTTCCTGACTAACGGCTTTACCTTGCACTCAGGAAGGGTGGACACCCCTTGTTTGGGCAGCCAGGAAAGGTCACCCAGCCGTGGCGGAGACTCTACTGAATCATGGGGCATCTGTGGATCTGGCGGACAATGTGCGGGTGCCCTTGTTGTTGCGTTGCATTTGTTCGGCATTTGTGGTAGTGCTGTGCTGCTTGTTGGTACTGTTCCAACAGCAAAATGGCGCTCAGTATTGGCCATGCATTCACTCAGCATGGCAGACGTGGCTCGTGTACACGGAATTGAAAATGTCAGGAATCAACTGTCATTGTGATGCTTAAGTATTGGATGAATGTTCTGTTTCAAAGGCATGTGTTAAGCGTTGCGCGAATGCGGCATTCCCATCTCGCTGGTTAACTACTGAACGGGGTTGCCGCCTGGCGATGAACTTGATTTGTGTGAACTGGCCTTGTCTTCTGTTCATTTGCCATTACCACACATTCGTAAATGACTGAACGGCAGCCAGCGATGAAGATGTGGATAGTGTTTATTGACGTCTACTACATAAGTAAGTTAGAGTCTATGTTAGAGTCTATGTATAGTCTAGTCTGAGTAAGTTAGAGTCTAAGTTAGAGTCTTCCCTGCCCTTTGAAATATTATTCTTGGATACTTTAATCAAACTACAGGCGCCCTTTCTCACGTGGGCTATCGCCAACGATATCCAGTTGTTTGTGCATACACCACCTGTTCATCGTGCAATTGAGTTTCCTGACTAACGGCTTTATCTCGCACTCAGGAAGGGTGGACACCCCTTGCTTTGGCAGCCAGGGAAGATCACGCAGCCGTGGCAGAGACTCTGCTGAATCATGGGGCATATGCGGATCTGGCGAACCGGGTGCGGGCGCCCTTGTTGTTGCGTTGCGTATTGTCCCGCATTTGTGGTAGTGCTGTGCTGCTTGTTGGTGCTGCTCCAACAGCAAAATGGCGCTCAATATTGGCCATGCATTTGCTCAGCATGGCAGACGTGGCTTGTGTAAACGGAATTGAAAATGTCACGAATCAACTGCCATTGTGATGCTTAAATACTGAATGAATGTGCTGTTTCAAAGGCATGTGTTAAGCGTTGTGTGAATGTTGCATTCCCATCTCGCTGGTTAACTACTGGACGAGGGTGCCGCCCGGCCATGATCTTGATTCGTGTGAACTGTTCCTGTCTTCTCTTCATTCTTCATTGTCACACATTCGTAAATGACCAAACGGCAGCCAGCCATGAAGATGTGGATAGTGTACATTGAGGTCCACTACATTCAAGTTAGTCTGTCGATGAAATCTGGCACATGGTATTGAGACCTGGTATTGTGACTTGACTTTACGATTCAATCTGTAGGTTGGCTCAACTGCCCTCATCGTCGCTGCACAACATGGCCATGCCGCCACTGCTCAGGTGTTGTTGGACAACAGAGCTTCAGTGGATCATGCAGATGAAGTAAGGGAGGTGATAATATCAGCAGACGACTTTTTGCAGTGGTGGTTGTTCAAAATATTGACTTCCAATGTGAGGCAGGGTGGACTATGCTTTTGCCAGCTTCATATTTAACACCTGTCATGCTTGGTGACATGATGTTCATCAGATTCACTCCAAATGGACAGCAACTTGTCATATTCCATGGATGAAATCGAGCACATGGTGTTACAACCAGACATTGCAATCTGACATCATAGTTTAATCCGTAGGGTGGATCAACTGCCCTCATTGTTGCTGCATCCCATGGCCACATTGCCACTGCTGAAGTGTTGTTAGCCAATGGAGCTTCAGTGTATCAGGATGACAAGGTGAGAACAGTTTATGTGCTTGTGATCTGAAATTGTGCCCGCACATGGCACTGCCGCAGTTGGACACAAGGCCGTCGCTGAAAAATGGACCTGTACAACTCTTTGGCGATTTTCTCAGGAATTGTTGCCTGTCTTTCACAAAACTTCTTCATGTTGCGGATAATGGCTGCACAGACAGTACCTGGTTGCCTTTCAACATATGGTGATCAGTGGATCTGTCATTCCATTGTTAGCTGTTGTGCCACACCCCATCACAGTGTGTTCTGTGCAACAGAGAGCATCATCAGCATTCATAAAATGTTAGGAATGTAATGGACACTGATCCGATAGATTGTGTTCTGGCGTGCTGTGAACGAATTCCTGCGCACATGGATACTCCTTTGACTGGACTACCAAGCTTCAGCAATGTCGTTCTGCAAGCGCATAAGACTGTTCTTGTTGTATGTTTTCAATTATAGTTGCAAGTTGCCTGTCATGTAGTGCGCAATTGTACTCTACCTCTACAAAATGAACGAAATCAGTCTGCATTGGTTGTCCAGTTGGATCAGCCAGTTTGGGGCAGTTCTGCATGCCCTGCACTGCCAAACACCACACACCCGGCATTTGCCGATCCCTTTTGTTTGTTAGAATCAGCTACAACTGTGTGCATGAGTTATCAGCGCTGCCAAAGACGAACTGCGCATTGTACAAAAGTGAAATCTGTTGCATGTCCCAAGAGGTCTGTTAAAGAAGATAGCATGGTATTGTACTTGCTGAATCGGTTGCAATGGTGTAGCGCATGTGGCTGTTGCACGCGTGCAATGCACACCAGGTTGCTTGCCATGTTGAAGCATTTTTTTATCGACTTTGGAAGGAGTTGCGAAGCAAAGTGTGCTTGAGTGTAGGATGGTCATACTCCTCTCTATCATGCAGCACGGGGTACAAGTACAGCTGTGTTGCCTCTGCTGAAGAAGCACGGCGCGATTGGCGAGGTATTGAACGTTTTGCAGGCTCATTTGCAAATTCTATATTATGGATCTGGTTTGCAGCTCATGTAAAACGATGGGAGCGTGTGAAACATTTTCATGGTGTTTTCAAATATTTGTCAAATTTCCACACACAATGGCCACAGGCCCTGTGCTGAATCTATTGAATACTCTGTTGGGCACTGGGCCTGGTGTCCATGAGTTGTAGTGCTGCTTTGGCAGCTGGGCCCAGACCGGCGCATCCTGCATGTGGCAATTCCTTTTTCACCAAGCCACCAATTTTTCTGGTATAGTCATCTGCCACTGGTTTCCATTTCCTGGTTGTGAGAATTAATGTAGTAACACAGACCCACATGAAGAGGATCCACATAACAAGTAAATTCTGCATACTATGTGCAATAGCACTGTCGCCACATTGCTGTATTCGGATTGGTCCCTTCTTTCCATCCTTCAAAGTGGCAGATCTTGTGACAACTGCGAGGCTTTCCCCAGTTCCACACGTTAGCATGAGATCTGGGCTGAACCCACTCAGGTATATGACGATTGAAAACAGCAAAGCAACCTGTACAGTGGTTCATTGGCGCTGAAGACTGAAGGGACGTGCTGACCAAGCGATATTTTTCTGCGTAGGAGAGGCCATCATACAATGCTGGAATTGTGACATTTCTCCAAAAGCAAATGAGTAAAGTCGAGCGCATGGTTGACGGACTGCGCGATGAGAGTGCTGAAACCTTGAAGACTACTCTACGGAAAGCACAGCGGTTTATTCAAAAGCATGAACTACCCTTCAGTCTGAAGAAGTTCTACACAGTTGTTGATGCAAGAAGAGCGGCCCAAGGAATATGCCAAGAACTGAAAGAGAAGATTCCATTCAGATTTGTAGAAAACAGAGATCCTCAGGACATCGTTCAGGTGGTAGTACCAGAACCCATCTTCACCAAAGACAAGGAGCATCTGAATAGCATGCTGTCGTATGTTCTAGAAGGCAAGCAATGCAACATAGCCAGCAAGGGGCTTCTGCACAAATGGGAAGATGCCAGAAGTAAGCATGTGAAATGGAGTTCAGATTGGCTAGTTGCTGATGAGGCAGTTGAGGTAGGAAATTTGTTAGGACAAGGTGGGCAGGCATGCGTGCATGAAGGCAGGTATAAAGGTGAGTTGGTTGCTGTCAAAAAGCCAACAATATCTGTACAGGACCTGTCCATTGACAAGTTGGCTGCACTTCTGAAAGAGGGATATTTACATTCTGAGCTCGATTCCAAGTACACCCCCCGGCTGTTTGCGATTACGAAGTCAGGTTGGATTGTCATGGAACTGGCGGGCAGAGACTTGCACACACTTTGCCAGGAGGAGCAAGACTTGGCTTGGTCGAGAAAGCTTCTCCTTCTTCAGAAAGGTGCCTTTGCATTGAAGTACTTTCACAGCAAGGGAATTGTTCACAGTGATGTGAAAGGCAGCAATTTTCTGGTGTTTGGGACTCTTGAAGATGACTATGTTGTCAAGCTGGCAGATTTTGGCATTGCAAGTGATGACACCTTTACAAGAAGCTTGACAGTGAGGGTGGGACAGGGGACTGATGTGTATATGGCCCCCGAAGTTTATGATGGCATAGTGTCCACCACGGCATCCGACGTCTTTGCCTTGGGCGTCGTTATGTATGAGCTCGTAACAGGCAAGGAAGCTTACTCTATTGAGGGTAGTGAAAGGAATAGATGTTTTCTCATGATGATGAAAACTCAGGGCAAGCAGGGGGGAACACCTGTTGAACCCTGCAACATTGCTGCGAGGGACTGTCCAAAGGAGATGCACAACTTGATGAAGATGTGCTGCAATGAGGATCCTGAGATGCGACCTGCTGTGGAAGAGGTTTGTACGCAACTTTC